TGATATGCCATTGTCTCGATTGTATCATTGACACTGAATCGTGTCAACGAATTGTTTAATTGTTGTGGAGTAGGAGGAAGTGCACCTAGTAAATTTCGAACATTAATAATACAAGTTTCAGAATAGAAACAAGACAATGATGAAAGCAATATTGTCTCCAAAAAATAACAGCCAAATACCATGCCATCAATGATCATCGTTTCATTAGAACTAGATAAATGCGCTGGTACTGAGCAAGTTTGTAAAGTAGCACAAGAACAACTTGTATTTTGTTCTGTATTGTTATGAATGATAGGTATAGTAACAAATGAACTATTTCTTTCTGCATCTATTCCAGCTCTGCTTAAATTCCAATTCGATGAAAACATTGCTAATAGAGCATTTCCTTGTGTAGTCATACGAATAAGATCTAATGTTTGAGTAAAACTGATTGGTATTCTTTTTTGAAATTGATTTATAGTATCATTTATTTCGTTCATGAATCGCTCACGAGACTCTAATTGATTGATTAGCATAGTCGAAGAGAGAAAAACATTAGTACTATTACTAACACTTTCTTGTGCCAATGAACAAAGAAATTGTAAAAAATCGATAAAGATGAACTTCCACACTTTAAAATTATTCACATTATGGAGTTCGTAATCATTTATATTCGTCAGTCCTATACAGATATATAACAAATTTATCAAATGTTTACAAATTTTTATAAAATATTTTTAATATATTCTACTTGAACTTCGATTTGTCAAAATAGTTCATTCTATAAAAACGATATTTTAACTACTCTTTTGTGTTCTCTTTACTTATTATATTAAATCTTGTACTACTCAGTCAAAACGATTAAATAGAAAATAATAATTTGTACTATGCTGTAGATGAAGTTTTCTTTTCAATTTAACGTTCTATTCTATATCAATCGATAAATTCCTGATATTTTCTAATAGTTGATATGAAAATAATTCTTTTAAATCATATTACCAGCTCTCAAAATATCATGAATTGCATTTGTTGTACATGCTTCATGAAATGCATTGACTTGTAATTCATTGATAAAATTATCGTAAGGAATTGATATATGTGTGCAAGGACAAGTAATATCATCTGAAGGATGATCTATGAAAAATTTTTCATAATCCATAATCGAAGATAAGTAATATCGTTCGTCGATATTAAGATTAACAAGAGCTGTATAGAAGAGTAATATACTGAGAGAACTTATATAAAGAACTAAATAGATTCGAGTATATATTCGTTGTTGACGAATTAATACCTCTTCAGTTGGTTCAGTCTTAAATAAGTTGAGAGTTTTAATTGATTGATAAGTAGTGATTAAAAGATGCTTGAGATAACCACTTATTGAAATGACTAGAAAAACAAAGGCATACAACATCAAATAAGTATAAAACTGATAGTAGAAAAAACAATTTTCATATATATAAATCTATTCTGATTATTTATGTTGATTCGATGATGTAAAAATCTTTTACAATATCTATGATATACTTACTACGTCGAGTATGACGTCTTTTCCACCAATCAATACACGAGAAAATAAGTTTACCAAACAATGGTATAAGTATTCGAAAAATTTTGTTTAGACCACCACATATAGCAATAAGAGGAAGTAATGATGCTAGAATTTCGCGACGTTGTTTATTTGTGTATGTGCAAGTTCGAGGTAAACATTCATTATAGAATTGATCAAAATGGGTATTATTACTTATTATTGTTTCTAACAACATTTCATCAATCAAATTGAGCATTTTTTCGTTCTCAAATCGAGTGAATATTGATGCATTGAGAGATTTTATATCTGGTGGTGGCTGAGACTTAATAACGATTGAATAAGTTTCTTTAATGTATTCTAGATATGTACTATTATACCACCATCCAATCTTCGAATTTCGAAATCCAAGTAAAGGTGTACAACCGATATATACCGTTTGAAAAAAAGAAGTTATTGGAAATTCATCATAATATGATGCATTTATATATAATAGAGGTATAATAAAGCAGACGTTGTAGTTCACTGAACATTTACACATGTCATTAGAAGCAAAGTTTCCCTCTGCAAAAACGGAATATATTTGATAATTAGTGAATTTAATAGAAAGTTGATCATCACTGGTTAAAGTAATATCAAAATTAATGTTTCCTCCATTAAAATATTGACTGAAAATAAGTGCAACATGAATCCAGTTAAATGTCCGTACAAAGTTGTTGCGTGTTGTGTTAATAAATGAATCTATTATCGCTTGAGTTTTTTGAAGAAAAAAGGATGGAGCAAGAACACGATCATTTATGAATTTAGTATTATTGAATACACGTTGTGCGTCATCAATATTAATCTTAGCCATAGAACAGAAAGCAGCTAAAAGTTGAAAATAAGAAGCACCCATTATCCGAAAGTCTCGGGTAGACCAACTGTCAAATGGCCATTCTG